GTGTGCATGCTGCGCCGGGACCACCACTGTGTGCTGCTGGGCCAGTGTGTGGGCTACCATAACTACCGTTACTTCCTGTGCCTCCTGCTGCACGGCTGGGTGGCCCTGCTCTACGCCAGCCTGCTCAACGCTGACATCTTCATGGACCTCCTGCACGAGGGAGTCACCCTGCACAGCATCGTCCTCCTCCTTATGCCGTGGCTCATGCTGCTGACGGGTACAGCCATGGCAGGACCTGCCGGGAGGGGTCCATCCACATGTGGGGACTGAGCACCACTGGTTTCCCTGGGACCAAGCTGTTCTCAACTGGTTTTATTAAAAAAAACCCCTAGGAAATACCTAGATAAAAAAACTTTGTGAGTTGCAGCCGAGCCTCGGGAACATCAGATCAAAATTTGGTGATTTTGGGCATCAGCCAGAAGCTCCATAAAGGGCCCTGATTTTATATATTGCTGATCCTCTACCCTCTGAAAAATAGAGCCTTTTAGGACATCTCCTTGGAAACTGAGAAACCCCTAAATCACATGTTGCTTTTGCAGATTGTGGTTTGAGTGTGCACCTCGGGGGCTCTTCCAGCATAGGCAGCTCCTTAGAAACCCCACAACCCATTCCCCTGTCACCTGAGCCACCAAGCCCTCCCTCAGTCCCTACTCCAGAGGCCACTATGATATCCCAGTATAAACAGTCCCTGTGCCCTACCCCAGAGGCAGGCGCATGTCAGTGGAACAGGGAGCAGAGCAGGGTTAATGAGAACATGCCAATACCTGGTTGTGACTGGGGGATGCTAGGTGCACCCTTGGGGAATGCTAGGTGCACCCTTGGGGAATGCCTGGCTCCTAGCACTGACTGCACCCCCTTGTGTTTCCCCAGGCCAGGTGAACACCTTGACTTTCATCTATGCTTTCATGGCTGACACCTGCGTGGTCAGTTTCCTCTTCTGCTCCGGCTTCCTGTTCTTACACGTGCTGCTAAGCCTGCGTGGCCAGACGACCAGGGAGTGGTTTGGGAAGAGCCGCTGCTATGACCTGGGCTGGCGTCGCAACCTGCAGGAGGCATTGGGGGACAGGTGGCACCTCGTCTGGCTGTGCCCGCTCCTGGCCTCTCCCCTTCCTGGGAATGGCCTGGCCTTCGAGAGCAGAGCTCTCCGCACTGAGCCCTCCACCAAGGCAGTCATTTTCTGAAGGTGGGTTCAGGAGCCACTCCCAATGCTGAGGGGGTAGGATGTGCCACGGTCCCAGCCACTTTGCCAACACCAGCTGACTGGCATAATGGGTAGGGCACTGGGGTGCAGGACTTCTGGTTTCTGTTCCCAGCTCTGCTGCTGACCTTGTACAAGAAGAGAGTCTCTAAATACAGCAGAAATAAGAGTAAGACTAAGGAAAGTGTAGGTCGTTACTCAATGGGGAAGGAGAGCATATAATGGAGGAGAGAGAGAGAAGGTTGAAGTGTTTAATGCCTTTTTTGCTTCAGTCTTCACTAAAAAGGTTAATTGGGAGCAGATGCTTAACAATTACTATTAGCATGGGGGAAGGATCTCAGACCAGATTAGGGAAAGAACAGATTAAAGGAGATGGGGGGGAGGGAACAATCTTCATATATGTTAAGGGTTGTTGTAAAGAGGCCAATGTTCTCCATGTCCACCGAAGGTAGGACAGACAGTCATGAGCTTAATCTGCAGCAAGAGAGATTTAGGTTATAGTAGGAAAAACTTCCTAACTATAATGGTAGTTAAAGCTCTGGAACAGGCTTCCAGGGGCGGTTGTGGAATCCCCATCAGTGGAGGTTTTTAAGGACATGTTGGACAAACACCTGTCAGGGATGGTCTAGGTTTTACTTGGTTCTGCTTCAGTGCCGGGAGGTGGACTTGATGGCCTCTTAAGGTCCCTTCCAGCCCTGCAGTTCCATGATTTTATAGTATTTAGATAAGTTAGATGTATTCACGTTGGCAGGGCCTGATGAAAATTGCCCGATGGTACTTAAGGAACTAGCCAAAGCAATCTCAGAACCATTATGGTGAGGTCCCAGGGGACTGGAAAAGGGTAACATAGTATCTGTCTTTAAAAACGGGGGAGGGGGGAGTAGGACCTGGGAATGTATAGACCAGTCTGCCTCACTACAATACAGGAAAGATACTGGAACAAATGATTAAACAACCAGTTTGTAAGCACCTAGAAGAAACTAGGGTTATAAGAAATAGCTGCACGGGTTTGTCAAGAACCAATCATACCAAACCAATCTAATTTCCTTCTTTGACAGGGTTACTGGCCTAGTGGATAAAGGGGAAGCAGTGGACATGATTTCTGGACTTTAGTAAAGCTTTTGACGCAGTCCCACAGGACAGTCTCTTAAGTAAACTAGGGAAATGTCGTCTAGATTAAATTGCTATAAAAGGCTGCACAACTGGTTGAAAGACCATCCTCAAAGAGTAGTTCTCAATGGTTCGCTGTCAAACTGGGAGGATGTATTCAGTGGGGTCCTGCAGGGGTCTGTCCTGGATCTGGTTCTATTCAGTATTTTCACTAATGCCTTGGATGATGGAGCGAAGAGTATGCTTATAACATTTGCAGATGATGCCCAGTTGGGAGGGGCTGCCAGCTCTTTGGTGCATGGAATTAGAATGAAAAATGATGGTGATAAACTGGAGAACTGATCTGAAATCAGCAAGGTGAAAGTCAGTACAGACAAGTGCAAAGTACTCCATTTAGGAAAGAAAAATGAAATGCACAACTATCAAATGGGGACGTATTGGGTAGGCAGTCGGGTTGCAGAAAAGGATCTGGGGGGGTAGTGGATCACAAATTGAACATGAGCCAAGAGCATGATGCTGTTGTGAAAAGGGCAAATGTCATGCTGGGCTCTGTCAGCAGCAGGGGGCGGATGGAAGACACAGGAGGTAATTGCTGTGCTCTGCTCAGCACTGTTGAGGCCTCAGCTGGAGTGCTGGGTCCCGTTTTGTGTCCCACACTTTAGGAAAGCTCTGAACAAACAGGAGAGTCCATAGGAGAGCAAGGATTTGTGAGGAACAGTTGAAAGAATTGGGCATGTTTAGGCGAGAGAACTGAAGGCTGAAGGGGGACATAAGTCTTCAAATATGTAAAAGGTTGTACTAAAGAGGATGGTGAGCAATTGTTCTCCATGCCCACCTAGGGTAGAACAAGAAATAAATGGCTTAATTCACAGCAAGGGAGATTTAGGTGGCTATCAGGAAAAACTTTGTAACTCTCAGGTGGTTAAGCACTGGAACAGATCACCCAGGGAGGATGTGGAATCTCCGTCACTGGAGGTTTCAAGAACAAGTTAGACACACACCTGTCAGGGATGGGCTAGATCTATGTAACGCTGCCATAGCGTGGGGCTATGGATTAGATGGCCTCCTGAGGTCCTTTCCAGCCCTACAATTCTATCATTCTACATCCTTTCCCTGCTCTGTGCCTCAGTTTCCCCATCTGTAAATGGGAATGATCCCTCACTAGATGAATTCACTAATGAGGTAAGGGTCAGCAGCTGGTGGGCTGAGGGACAGACCGGCACTCAGACAGAGAGAGAGCCTAGCTCGAGACACTGCTGTTCTATTGGTATTACAGTAGCACCTAAAAGCCTTGCCCCCCACAAGATCAGGTGCAGCACAGACACAGTGGGAGACAGGCCCTGCCCCAAGAGCTCTCAGTCTGAACAGACAAAGGACGGAAAGGAAACAGGCACCAAGAGAGCGAAGGGACTCCCCCAAAGTCACTGGAGAGTCAGCAGCAGAGCCAGGGACAGAACAGAACCCAGGAGTCCTGGCTCCCATACCTCCCTCCTCCCCTGCCGCTCTAACCACTAGACCCCTCTCCCCTCCCAGAGCTGGGGATGGAACCTAGGAGTCCTGTTTCCGAGCCCCCACACTGTAACCCACTGGCCTATCACCCTGCTTCATAATCAGTTCATCCCAAGCTTAGGCTACTCTGCTCCAGTTATTGCTGGTTGTGGAGCTGGCAACCTCAGGCCTGTGGGAGGGGGAGTGAATTTATGCTGGCCAGTCTGTGGCTGAGATCCAGGGATCATCCCCCACCCTCTCTCGTCCCTGTCAGGCATTGAGAGGGGCCAGAGATGGGGGACACAAAACTGCTCTGGGTTTGTCCCATCGGAGGCCTGGCCCATGATGGCCCAGGTCAGCTCTGATCCCTCCCTCTCTGATTGCAGGTCTCCTTCTGGATGGCGCTACAGTACTGCAGTGGGGCTGGCACTGGGTTTGCCTCTCCCCGGAGGGGGAGCGCTGCCGAGGGGCAAGTGTCAAGCTGTGTCCACTGCTCTGCCCCATGGGTTACTGGCACCTGACCTGGGTCCTGACACTGCCCGGTGGGTGATTGAGCCAATCTGCACTGGACTCTGCAGTTGTTGGGACTGTTGCGCCAGGCACCGGACAGACTCCAACTGAGATTGGGGGGCCCTGTTGCACTGGGCATAGTGCAGCCCGTGAGCAAGATCAGAGACCCCTGTTGGTCCAGGTGCAGCTCAAATACAGAATGAGAAACAGTCCCTGCCCTGAAGACCTCACAGTCGTAACAGACCCAAGGTGGGAGGGTAAACAGGCACCCAGAGGAAAAGGGACTGCCCAGCTCAGGGAATAGAGCCCAGGAGTCCTGGCTCCCAGTCCAGTGCCCTCCTGACTGCACTAACCTTTTGTGGTTCCCAGTTCTGCTCCATTTAAAGCACTAGCAGCACAAGACCACACTTCTGCGAGCCCAGGGCTAAAACTGCTTGTCTTCTGTGTTTGCACAGTTCTCCCATGGCTGGCCCAGCCCAGCAGGACAGCCCACCCCCCAGAGGCTGGAGTCATTGCCTTACCCAGCCACTCTCCCGGGGGGGTCCTTTCCTCTGGCACCATCCCCACTGCTCGCCAATAAAGGCTCCAAGCCCCAGGTGCATGGTGCCTGAAGATTGATTTGTCTGATTCTGGAGGGGCCCGTTCTGAGCCCCAACCTGACCCCCTGCAGCCTTTCCTGCCCCCGGCCCAGATTTGGGGGTGGGACCACAGCATGGCTTTTAGAGCTGTGCAGCCTGGATGTAAAGTCCCCAAGGGGTGGAGCGTTCCCCTATCCCAGGAGAGCTGCCTTGCTGAAGAATCCCCCTCACTGCTAAACCTCTGCCCCTCATTCCCCATCTGAATCTGTCTGGCATCGCTCCCAGACACGGACATCAGTTGGCCTTTGTCCTTGAGATTCCCAAGGCCCCTAGGACCAGCTCAGCAGGGATCCCTGGGCACTGGTGCAGTGGCTGCAGTGCTGGCCCTTGTAAATGCTTCCCCACAGGGCTCAGCTGCTAAGGCCAGGGGTTGCAGGGTCCTTTAGCTGAGCTTCTGTGTCTCTTGTGTTCAGGGGAGGGCCAGGAGCCAGTGTACATTGGAAGACCATCAGAGCGGGGCATAGAACCCAGGTGTCCTGGCTCCCAGCCTCCCACCCCTACTCTAATGCACTAGTTTCCCTCCTCCCCCCAGATCTGGGGGGAGAACCCAGGAGTCTGGGGCCCAAAGCAGGGAAAAGACATGGTGTGGCCTGACATCCTTCCCCTCACTGTCACTCTTCACACACCATTTCCCCTGCATCCCTGGTGGCCAGGAGCCTTTTAATACAGAGCCGTGGCAGTGTCTGGGCGAGGGCTGGATCTGGGGCCTGTCCCAGCCTCATGGCTGCAGTGCCTGGGCCTCCGGGCACATCCTTTCCCCACAGTGTGGACAGCCCGGCCTTTTCAGTGGTGGGGAAAGTCCTGCTCGGCTGTCTGCAAGGAACAGAGGGGAGAGAGTAGTGTCCTCCACTGTGGTCTCCTTTCTGATTCCTGCCCAGAGGGGACGGAGCAGCATGGTGCACTCGGGCATGGAGCCAACCCTGACTTGCTGCACCATGGGGCCCCCACAAACTGAGCCCTACCCCAGGGGGAGGATCTGCCCCTGGACTACTGCATCTGGCAGCGCAATGGCTACTGATGGCTCCCTAGCGGTGGGTCCTTCATACCCAGTATCCCGCCCCCTTCCCTGCTACTCTGAATCAGACCCCTGGGCCCATCCCACGTGGTATCCCCCCTCCTGGCTCAGACCCATGGGCCCATCCCACCCAGTATTCCCACTCCTGCTGTCCTGGGTCAGACCCCTGGGCCCATCCAGCCTGTTATCACCCCTGGGCCCATCCAGCCCGGTATCCTCTGCCCTGGCTCAGACCCCTGGGCCCATCCAGCCCTCCCCTGCACTGGATGCCGGTACCCCACCTCGAAGAAGCTGTCGACAATCTTGTCGGTGGTGGCGGCCTGGGAGCGGAACTGCTGCTGGAGGTGCTCAACTGACGCCATCAGCTGCAGGTAGGTGAAGAGCAGCTGCTTCTCCCTGCTGGGATGGGGCAGAGTGACTTCCTCGGGGTCAGAGCCTGCTCTCCTAAGGGGTGCTACCTCCAGAGTCCCCTCCTGCCAGGGCTCCTCTGGATACATGTGCCCCTGGAACTGATCTGTGGTGGGCGATACCAGGCCAGATGGGCCTGTGGATCTGATGGGGGGGGGGGGGCAGATACCAGGCCAGATGGGTTCATGGATCTGATGGGAGAGAGGGGCTGGAAAGGCCCATTACCCCACTCTGACGTGCCCCATGTTGGCTATTTCCACATGGGATGGAGGGAAGAGGCTGTGCTATGGGGGCCCCTTACCTCTCGCTGCCATCCATGTGCTTGATGAGCTGAGCCAGGAAGGCTTCATCGTCCTCCAGCTTCATGTGTCCCTCTGTGGGGGGACAGAGAGAGACCTCTGTGGGACTCCAGCCAGGCGGGAGACACCAGCCTCCACCCACCCCAGGGAGGAGAACCCACAGCAGGGGGTGGTGTGTGGGTGAGACGAATTTGCTGGATCTCAACAATGGCCTGGAACCCTCTTGCCCCACAGTGTCTGGGGGCTGAACACGTCATGGAGACAGAGAGCCCCCTAGAGGGGGTTCCCCACAGTGCAGGCACTTGGGAGCCTGGTATCCAAGGGTCAGACCCATGGGCCCATCCAACCCGGTATCCCCCACTCCCTAAACAACCTCGGGGGTGGGGGTCATACTGCCCTTTTGAACTGTCCCCCACCAGCCAGAGGTAGAGGGAGGGGAGCTTACCCTGGGCTGGCTTGCCTGATACAATATCTTCTATGCTGCTCTCCTTGGGCTGCAGCAGACTCTGTAACACAAGGGTGGGGGGGGGGAGAGAAGAACAAGCCCAGCATTAAACATGGACCCGACAGGGGGAAAAGCCCATTGTCCCCTTGTTTCAGTGGGGGAAACTCAGGCATGGAGGGAGTCGGGGACAGAACCAGGAAGAGGACCCAGGAGCCCTGACCTCCACCACCTCCTGATTCTAACCACTAGATACCACTCTCCTCCCAGAGCCAGGGATAGAATCTAGGAAGCCTGCCCCACCCCCCATAACCACTAGAGACCATTGCCCTACCAGAGCTGGGAGTCCTAGCTCCTAACCAAACACCCCTGCTGTAATCCACTAGACCCCACTCCCTTCCCAGGCTGGAATAGCTGGGCTGCTGAGACAACTCCCTCACATGCCTACTTCCCCCATTCCTTAGGGTGTGGGAAGAGGCACCTTCTGCTTCTGCAGCTCTTGGCGCTTGATCAGGGTCAACTGGAAATTGTCCACCAGGACAGCGATGACCAGGCTGAGAGAGAGAGAGAGAGGAGGGGCGTGGGATAAGGCTGGGACACGGGTCCTTTCCCCTCTAAGGGACACCGGCTCTGATCAGGTCCCCAGGTGTGGGAACTGGCTGGCTCAAGCTGGGGGATATGGGCCTATTTCCCTCTCCAGGGGCTGAGCGCCATGAGGGAGGAGGTGTGTGGAGGGGCATAGGGATATGGAAGTAGGATGAGGAGGGGATGGGAGAGCTGGGGTCAGGGGAGGACCAGTGTGCTGAAGGGGCTGGACTCACTTAAGGAAGGTGAAGTACTCAATGAGGATGTAGGCCATCAGGAAGAAGATAATGTATGAGGCACCTGAAAAGGGAAGGGTGAGCTTCTATTGGGCATGGAGCAGTGTCAGGAAAAGAATCCAGGAGTCCTGGTTCCTGGCCATAACCCAATATATACCCAACCACTCTATAACCCAATAGATCTCACTCCCCTCCCAGAACTGGAGCTAGAACCCAGAAGTCCTGGCTCCCAGCCCCTTGTCCCCCTTGCTCTAAGCACTAAGACCCCCCTTCCCTCCCAGCATGGGGATAGAACACCAGGGTCCTGTCCTATGGTGCACGGGTGGGGAAGGTGTCTCACCCCCTTGGACGCTGTCCAGGTAGATGAAGGACCAGTCGTCTAGCGTGAAGAGCTGGAAGAGGGTGAAGATGGTGTCGAAGAGCTCCCCGAAGCGATGGGGGTCAGAGTTCTGGAACAGGTCATGCAGCACCACCGAAAACATGACTGGGGGGGTGAGGGGGTAAGGAGCAACAGTGCTGTGAGCCAAGGACCTCCCAATGCCGCCTGGGGAGGGGGGTGCAGAGGGGTTACAGGAACCTGCTGAGTCTGACATATGTGGTCTAGTTCACCAAAGAACATCATGTGAGGTCTCAGATACAAGCCGGCGTCACTCCGCTATCATCAGGAAAGGCACGTGAGGAGGATGCTGTGTAAGGAGTTCTGTACCTGCACTGACAATATGGTCTGACAGCTGTGGCTGGGGCCACCAGCAAGGGTAGAAAAACAGGTTTCCTGTCAGACGAGGGCCAGTTAGCCATGGATCTGTCTGCATGTGTACTGTGTACTGGCTCCTTCACAAGGGGTCGCCTAGCACCAGTCTGACTGCAAATGAAGGCGTGCAAGAACTTCAGAAAGAAACTAACAGGAAGAGAAAGTGGGGGAGGGGGGAGACCTTACCTTGAGATGCACTTCAAAGGTTTGCTTGACTATATTTGGGGGGCAGAGAAAACAGACAGGAATCCCTCACCTAGGAAGGGAAGGGACAGCAGGTTTGCTTCCTGAATGTGGGATCTCAGCCAGGCTTGGTGGAACATACTGGAGTGACCTTTAGGTGAGATCAGGCTCTTTCAACAGGAGGGTGCCCAGAGAGTTAAGCTGAGGTGTTAGAAAGTGGGCAACAATTTTGTTTTGTGTCTTTGCTTCCAATATGTCACTGGAGTCTCAGTTCCCGGACAATACACTTATTGTTTTCCCTATAAATGCAGGTGCCGTGGTGCCAGGCAAAGGGGTGGGCCTGAGCTGACTTACCAGCTGCTTTATACAGCCCCTTTGGGAGCAGTAAGCCTGGGGAGTCTGGGAGTGTCCAGCGGCTAAAGGGCTGGATCCTGCAGGACATGCTTCGAGCACTCGGGGCTGGGGTGTGCCTGTCATGACCTGAACAGAGAGAGTGGGTCTTGCGGGGGCCTGGAAGGCCGGGCTGGTGCTGCCAGAGGCTGGTGGGTTTAGGCAGCCGATCTATAGTAGGCACAGACAAGGCTGCTTCATGCTAAAGGCAGGTGGTGGTGAGGTGCCTCCCAGCCCTGGCAAGCATCAGGTACCCCCAGGAAGAGAGCCCTTGCTGCACCCTGACCCCACAGGGGAGAGAGCCCCGCTGCACCCCCTTGCCTTCCATAGCACCCCCCATTCATCTCACTGTGGGGAAGGACAGAGCCCCCTCCTCCCGCCCCATGGCAGGATACAGAGGCAGGTGAACATCAGCAGCAGGATGGCCCCGATGGATGGGCCAGACAGCGCGAAGGTGCTTGTCAGCTCCTGCAGGTTCTCCAGCACCCTGGGGGCAGAAATAGGGGGTTTGTGGGGGGCCTCAGGGCTGCAGGAGACCCATGGGATCTGCTGTGGATGGGGCACTGGCCAGAAAAGAACCCACTCATGGGGGTTGTCCCAGGGCACGTGGGGAGGGGAGTGTGAGGTTACCAAGGGGGACAGAGGGATGGCACTGGGGTCAGCAGGGGCGTGGTAGCACAGGGCAGGGGGACAGCACCTGGGGGACAGGGAGAAAGCAAGGGGGGAACCCAGGTGGCAGAGCACCCAGGGGGTAGGGAGCAAAGGGGCACCCAGGGAGGCACAGCAGGGAAGGCCACCCAGAGGGGCAGGGAAAGAGCAAGGGGACATCCAGGTGTCACACCAGGGGAGGGCCCCTGGGGGGCAGGGAGAAGGCAGGGGTCATAGCAAAGCTACAGCACCCAGGGCCCCAGCTCCATTGCCCAGCGCTTCACTCCCTCTACCCCTCATGCCCGCCAGGCACTGACCGCAGTGTGAGCAGCAGCCTCAGGACCCGCACAGCCCGGACACCCTTGAAGACGCGGAGCACGCGGAAGAGGCTGACAGCGTTCTCGTGGGTGTTGTGGCCCGGGGAGATGAGGAGCGGCAGCACAAAGTCCAGCACCATCATGATCATGACGAAAAAATCTGTGAGAAAGAGGGAACAGCCTCGAGGAAAGGAGGCACTACTACAGTTCCCCAACACCCACTTCCCCTGCACACGCACATCACCCCCTCCCAGGCACTCGCCTGCTCCCTTGCCCCGCTGCCCTGACCCCCAGGCCACCCCCAGGTGGCTCATCTCAGCCCCCCCATGGACCCCAGCCACTGGGAATCTCTCTGCCCCACCTCTGAGTCAGGGTTCCCTGGCCCCCTCCCATGGTAACCCACCAATGTCATTCCAGGGATTGCGGAAGTAGTCGAGGTCCAGGGCGATGAGTTTCAGCAGTGCCTCCAGCACGTACACACACAGGAAGACAGCGTCCATGGCAGAGAAGAACCACTCTGAGGGGGTGAGGGGGCTGGCGTGAGGTCACGTACCCACTAGGCAATTCTGCCCCACCATCCACGCCCGGCCTAGAGAACAAACCCTGTGTGACAACGGGCACCCACACGCTGGACTCAGCCCCTTCCTGAATGCAGACAGCATGGCCTAGTGGGAACGGGAGCCAGAACTCCTGGGTTCCCTCTCTGGGTAGAGGGGTTCCTAGTGGTTAGAGCAGGGGTGCTGGGAGCCACAAGTCCTGGGTTCTATTCCCAGCTCTGCTACTGATCTCCTGTGTGACCTGGGGCAACGTGCTCCCACTTGGTGCCTCAGTTTCCCCATGTCTATTCAGACTCTGAGCTCCTCTCACCCAGGTTAGCAGGCACTACCATAATACCCAGCATAACCATGAGCTAGTCCCTGAGGTGAGATGGACACACCTGCTTGGAAGGGGAAATGGGGTGACCTCAACGGGGGGTGGCAGCATCTCTTAGGTTAGCAGGGGGCACTGGGAAGACCACTGTCTGGGTGAGAGGGAACTGGGCAGAGAGCAATAGGCCAACCCTATGACTGGGTGATAGGGTGTCCTAGGGTGAGTGTGGGGCAATGGAGCAACCCCAGGCTTGGTGGAAGACAGTGGATCTGGGGCAGGATGGAAGGGGTCAATCCCAATAGCTGAGATGGGGGAGCAATGGGGCTATCCCCATGTATGGTGGGGAGGGAAATGGGATGATTCCCATGGCCAGACAAGGGCAGGAGGGGAGCAATCCCCATGGCTGGGATGGATGGGAGGGGTAATGGGATGATTCCCATGGCCAACCCAAGGCCAGGGGGTGATCCCCGTGGCTGGGACGGGGGGAGGGGTAATGGGATGATCCACATGGCCAGACCAGGGTGTGTGGGGGGGTGATCCCCATGGCTGGGATGGCGGGGAAGGAGAATGGGATGACTCCCATGGCCAGGCCAGGGCGGGGGCAGCCTTACCTCCACGGACCTGCACCGCGGCGAAGGTCTGCACCACCAGCACTGCCGTGTGGATGAAAACCACAGTGAGGATGAAGAGTTCGAAGGCCAGCAGATGAGTGAGCTTGTGGATGATGGCCCGCAGGGTCAGCAGCCGGGGCAAGGTCCTCTCCCACGCCAGGCGCAGCAGGACCATGGTGCCCCTCCACTTCCGCCCCTGCCGGGGGTCCTGCTTCCCTGGGCACAGATGCCACAGATCAGCCATGGTAGGGAAGGAACAGGACAAATGATAGTTATGGGAGGCGGGGCAGGGCGGGCTGTGGGTTGTATGGGGGGCTGTGTAGGGGGCAGGAGCAGCCTGTGGGGGACTTGGGGTGCAGTAAGGTTCCATGTTCCCTCTGGCTCTCCTCAGGCAGTGGTACTGGGGCTTGGGGGGGGGGGGAGTATGGGGTGTTTGGGGGGGGGTTGCAGGATGGGGAGAGCATTATAGCGGGAGGAGCCCCATCTTCCCTTTGGCTCTTATTGGGGAGAGGTGTTGGGCAGTGGGGGGTTGGAAGCTGGGGTGGGGGCGTATGCAGAGGGGTGGGGGGATGGGGTGTCCAGGGAGCAACCTATTACCTTTCAATATCTTCGTGGGGTGGGAGGAGGCCGAGGTGGCTTGCAAGGAGGCCTGGGAGACAGGGGGCATCTCCTCCTTGTATGGAGGCTTCTCCATCTGGATGCCGGACACAACAGGCACGGTCAGGTAGTCCATGGTGTATGTGTGCCCCAGCTCCCCGTGACTGGGATCCTGCAACCCAATTCCCTCAGCGACCCCCAAATGCCCCTCCCTCCTTCTGTCGTGTCCCCAGCCAAGCCCACGTCCCAGACTGATTTCCTGGTGGCCCCAGAACCCTGGGGGCCTGGAGGTTCTAGATCAGAGCCCCCGCCTTTGTAATGCTGTCACTGTGGTGACTCCTAAACACCACAGTGAGGGGAGGGGACAGGGCAGGGGCCTAGGAGGGGGGTTCTGTAGGACCAGGGTGGGGCTTAGCAGTATGGAGTGAGCCTGGGTTGGGCCCCAGGAAGGAGCTGGGGGGCAGAGCATGGTCAGGGGGGCAGGGCAAGGTGAGGCCTAAGGCTGTAGGGAGGAGTCGGGGATGGGGGAGTGTCTGGGGGGGTGCAGAGTAGGAGGTGGAGGGGGGCAGGGGCTCTGTGAAAGGGCGGAGGAGGCAGGGATAGGGCCTAGCTGTCTGGGGAGGACTCTGTGTTGGGCCCAGGGTGGGGTGAGGGGGCTGTGAGGCCCAGGATGGGGTGGGTGTCTGTGTGGAGGGGTAGGGCAGGGAGTCTGCAGAGTGGGGTGGGGGCCAGGAGGAGTGTAGAGCAGGAGGGGGAGCACTATTGCAGCTCCCTGACCTGCTGCAATAGCAGCCCCTAGTGCTTTCACTTCCTCTCCCCTGCTCTCCCTTCCCCCCACTGTGATGAAGGGTCCTATCCCCTCCCTCCTGAATCTGGACTGTACTGGGAGCTCTGGCCTATGCTGTTCACCCAGAGAACCTAACCTGGGTCCGAGCAGGACAGCTCCAGCCCATCCCCATTGCCCCACTGCCCCTGTGCCTGTGCAGGCCCATCGTTCCTGACAGATCCAGCTGAGGGTGTGGAGACAAGGAGCTGGTTCCGACGCCACTTGGGGAGGGGGTGACTCCGGTTTCACCCAGTGAATCTGAGATCAGAATCGGCCCCTACCCACTGCAGTCAATGGGTGACTCTCGACTGACCCCAGGAATCAAGGGGATCAGATAGGGACCCTACATTAATGCAATGAATGAAAGTCATTGGGGCTGAGTTAGATCAGTGGCTCTCAACCTTTCCAGACGACTGTACCCCTTTCAGGAATCTGATTTGTCTTGCGTTCCCCCAAATTTCACCTCACTTAAAAACTGCTTGCTTATAAAAACAGACATAAAAATACAGAAGTGTCACAGCACACTGTTACTGAGAAATTGCTGACTTTCACAGTTTTACCACATTATAAAATAAATCCATTGGAATATAAATATTGTACTTACCTTTCAGTGTATAGTATATAGTGCAGTATAAACAAGTCATTGTCTGCATGAAATTTGAGTTTGCACTGACTTCGCTAGTGCTTTGTAGGTAGGTTGTTGCAAAACTAGGCAAAGATCTAGACTAATTGATGTACCCCCTGGAAGACCTCAGCGTACCCCCAGGAGTATGTATACCCCTGGTTGAGAACCACTGAGTTAGATGACAACTGATTGGTGACCCACCATGTCCAGCACCCCCATCTCACCCTGTGAGCCCCCTTCACCAGGAACCAAACTTGGGATAATTCATTACCATGCGGGTGTTGCTTTGATCGGGGAACACCATAGAAATGCAGTTATTAATACTAGCAGAGATGCAAATAGGAACCAGGAGTCCTGGTTCCCCCTGCCCCATCTAATCCACTAGACCCCTCTCCCCTCCCACAGCTGAAGACAGAACCCAGGAGTCCTGGCTCCCCACCCCCATGCACTAACCCACCAGGCTGCAGACCGCTCACATCATTATCAGCAGACAGCTCCATCCCTCGGGGAGCAGAGAGTTAACACTGCATTTCCTGCAGCTCAGAGAAGCCGTGGGGCAGGCGGTGCAGGGAGACAGTGTGGGGACTGTGGGGGGGAACGAGAAGGGACCCCTTTCTCTCCTGCCTCCTGCCCTGCCCCATCCCCACGTGAGACCCTCAGGAGGTGTCCCCTGAGGTTGCAGATCCAGCACAAGACCCAGCTTTCCCGGGCACCCGGTGCTGTCCATGGCTCTGGAGTGCCAGCCCCTGGGCACAGTATCTGTGCGCCTGCAGATTGGGCTGTCCCGAGAGTCATACATGCTTCCCCCAGAGGAGCTGGGTTACGGACACCTGCGGCACCTGGCAGTGGAGCTGGTGGAGAGGAAGGTAATGGGGCTAAGCTGGAGGGGTGTCGAGAAGGGGAGCGCAGGTGAAAAGGCCAGGATCCAGGGTGTGGGGATGGGAAGGGGCCCCCAGAAGGAATCACAGAAGTTGTGCCCAGATGCCCATGCTGGGTCACGGAGACACCAGGGGAGTTTGCTCAATGTCTGATTAGTGCTTGGAATGTAGGGGAGCAGCTGTGGAACCCAGCAATGTCCTGACTTCCAGCCCCAGCTGCTCTAACCGTGAGTCCCCACTCCCCTCCCAGAACCGGGGACAGAAACTGAGAGTCCTGGCTCCCACCAGCCATGCTCTAACTACTAGGCTTCACTCCCCTGCCTCAGCTAGGAATAGAATCCAAGAGTCCTACCTTCCAGCACCTCCCCTGTTCTAACCACTAGACTTCACACCCCTTCCTGAGCTAGGAATAGACCCCAGGCATCCTGCCCTCCCTCCCTTTAACCACTATTCCTCCTCCCCTCTTGATGCCTGGAGATTGATTTGCTGTTCTCCTGAGACAGATTAAATGAGGCACAGCCTGGGGGGAAACACGGGGCTGGAGACTGCAGTGTCCCACAGATAGGGTAGCAGATGGGAGGTGCTGGGCTGCCAGGCTGCAGGTGGCTCACTCCCTGGGGAACCTCATGGCACTCAGAGCCCTTGGACAGCACCCTTGAGAGAGAAGGGGGGGCGCATGGTGTGGGGCAGGGGTCTGATCTTACCAGGGGACCTGCAGACAGGATTCGAGGTCGGGGAAAAGATGATGTGACCCAAGTGTAGGATGACTGGGGGGATATAGAGCCCTGGTCCAAGGCCAAAGCGGGGACATCCTTAATATTGGGGGAGGGTCTGAGCCTGAGCCTGCCCCCCTGCTGCGGACCTGCGCTCTCTCATTCACAGGAGGGTGGCTATTCAAAGGTTCCCTGTCTCCCCCACATTTCCTTTGCCCCCTCCCCGCCAGTTTCCATCTCAGGACAGCACAGGGAGCACTTGGGTGGGTGGGGGTGCTGCAGCAGCCATGCTGAGTCAATCTTTCCACTGCGGCTGGGGTCAGCGGGGCCCTGTCCCTCCTACCTGCGCTCTGAGGGCCTGCCCCCTCCCCGGCTGCCCAGTCGCCCTGCACCGAGCAAGTGAGAGAGGAAACCGCCCTAACCAGCAGAGCAGCTTGTTTCCGCTCCGTGCTCACTCGTGGCATTG